AATTGAAATATACTTATAGATATTGTGAAGTAAAACAATGTAAATATAAATATTCACTAAATAAAAACACAATTACATGAAAATTTGACTAAACTATAATATTGTGAAGCAACACTAGTGAACAACTAGATCTATCTCGCAGTCTATTTGCAGAAAGATGAAAGGATTTACATGTACGTCAATTTCGCCGGGAGAACGTGGCTACCAAGTAGTGAAATTAGATGTATTCGATTTTTCAAAAATCTCCAAGAAGCCGAAAACGGAATGGTGGAAGGAAGCCAATTACAGATCGACGTTCATTCTGCAATCTCCGTTGGATCCCAATTATCAGTTAGTAATGAAACTATTACTAGCTGCTTCGAAACAGATAAACAACATTCCCGGAACAAAAAAAGAGGAAAGGGAGACAAAATAATTGATTTTTTGAAACAACATCCAACGGCACCTATTCAACACATATTAAACACATCAGTTTGGTTGGAATCTGAATTTCGATTTTGGGATATAAATTCAATATTAATAAAAAATTGTATTAGAATAATACATAATTATGTTAATAATTTAAGTTTTCAAGAATTGTATTTATATTTAAGTACTGTAGAGCCACAAAATTTAATTTTTAACGCATCAATAACTAATGTATCAAATTTATTTAAAATAATGTATTAAAAATTTATTAAAATATCAATTTTATAATAATATAGAAGAAATTGAAAAATTTATATACAATTTATATTGTATAATTGACAAAGTAATTCCAAAAAAAAAATACTATGTTTGTGTTAAGTCCACCAAATGCTGGAAAAAATTATTTTTTTGATTGTTTTATTCATTATTGTTTAAATTTTGGACAAGTTGGAAATTTTAATTTTAATAATAAAAATAAATAATACGACAAAAATCATAATCTAAAAAAAAAAAAAAAAATTACATTTATAGACAACATTTAAAGTGCGGAACAATGGGATGGTTCTTATTGTATATCGTTTTTTCTTAGGTTATACCGCCGCCGTGATTGTAGATTTTACAAGTTATATTCTAAATAATAAATAATAAGGAATTGTTAATTTAGCTAATAGACTTTAAATGTCGTTTCTTTGTTTTCAGGTAAATATAAGTAATATAAGTAATAGAGTGTAATTGTTTTAATGTACTAAAAATACTAAAACAAAAACTTTCTTTTCAGAGCAACACAATTTTTATTTGTAAATTGCAATTTCTTCGATAAGTTTCATATAATTGCCTTATATATATATAAAATTTTTTTTTTCTCTCTTCAATAAATACATATTAACACTATGTAAAAATACTGAACTTGTAAACTAAAAAAATTAAAGCGAATTTTGTTTCATAACCAATTGTTATTCCTTTAAATATATACCACTTTTTTATCTTCATTGATTCGTCTTACCATCGTCTTACTGATTTTTTTTTCTCTTCTCTGCTTGATTTATGGAAGCAATTGCCGCGTATATAAATGAGGCTCAGAATATTCTAAGAAACGCTAAAAAGACTAGTATTAGAGGGTATACAAAACCTACTGTAGCCACCAAATTAGATAGATTAGACTATCTAAGAACTCTTGTCGAGTCAATTTATATAACAAAAAATTTAGAAGAGGTTTCCGTCTTAAAAGAGGTCTTCCTAGAAAAATATATACAGACAAGAAAGTATCTTTTAACTATGACAACACCTGAGCAAAATACGCAAACTACAAACCCAAGTAATCACATACTAAGCGACATTAACAACAGTACAAATATAACAAATAGAATGACGACATACGACGCAGTAATTGAAAGCGTAGAAAAGCTACTGCCCATATTCACGGGAAAACAAGAAGAATTAAATTCTTTTTTAAGGAGATTGCAATTCTACGGCCAAAAGATTGACCGTCACAGTCGCTATTTTAATTATATTTATTCATATATTAATTTAAGATTCACTAATCATAATGTAAAAATGAAATTTAAAATGAAAATAAATATACATACATACATACTCGTGAAACACAAAATGAGATTTTGACAAATAGAAACCGTCATAATCAATAATTTAAAGGTAACAACAAGTACATGAAACCGAAATAATCACACAAATTAAGGAAAGGTTGGAGCAAGGTATAAGAAAAGAAAGCAACTCTCCTGACAACTCATCACTCTGCACAGTAACGAAGAAAACTGATAATTCAGAATCGAATTATCAGAAAAAATGGCGAATCGTTATATTATATGATTATCAATGAACTTCTAAAAATATAAAACATCGATAATAACTTTTTGTGTGCTCAAATCTTCGGCTCCACTCACAAACCCGAAAATTTGTCACAAGTCATGCTCTTACATCCGGAAACATCCAGATGCATGATCATGCCCTCAGTATCATGTACAATGACAAGATACCGGACACAGTGTTGGCTAGTCACTGGAGTTAGCACGCCTAACTAAACCTAAATCTAAAATTTCCTCTTGATGGCAGACTTAGAAATTGGTACAGAAGTAATTATTAAAAATAATTGGTAAAATAAACCAATTAGAATAAGAGTAAAAATAATAAACAAATAAAACCTGAGATTAATAAACTACTAATAGTTATTAACAATCACCATCATTGTACAAACTCATTAAGTTAGTAAATAATATAACTTAAATTAATATAAAAGGCTATAAAATCTACATAGAATATCACCATAGATTCAAATAAACATCACATAAGACTAAAGTTAGTACATAATTTCATGAATCACTATAGGCTCTTTATACCACGTAATTAAACTATTGCCAGAATGACACAAACTGTAACATACATGCTTAGATAGCTCACAAAACATAGATTCAAATAACATCACATAAGACTAAAGTTAGTAAATAATTCTATGAATCACTATAGGCTCTTTATACCACGTAATTAAACTATTGCTAGAATGACACAATCTGTAACATACATACTTAGATAGCTCACAACAATAATTTATACTGGTAGGATACACAACTGCAACAAAACATATTAAGATGGCTCACAAAACATTAACAGTCTCCATATTTTGTAATGTCTCACGTCGTATGGGAACCTTATTCAACACCAATCAGTGTTCAAAAATTGGTCATCTTTACACTATAGTTTCCACTTACGCGTTTCATCTGGGGACTACCCAGAATCATCAGAGTGGATTTGTGATATTCAATCAAGTATAATTCTCTAAGTCTCATTGTCATCTTTCTTAACATCACCTATCGGGTAACATGCACACTACAATAACCCAAACCCTATATTAAAAACAATTATAATATCGTTAAAACTGAAAATACAAATCTTGTAACCATATGAATCGCTATCAGTACTGAGAAACTAATATTACACTGAACCAAATTTGTACACGATATTTTACGAAAAGATTTCATAAAAGTTCATATCGTATTTTTCATAAAATTTCAGAAAAACTACATAGAATATATGTAATTTTTCTTAAACCAATTATTGTTGTGTGAAAAATTTCATAGATTTTGTGAACAGGCTGTCATAAAATAATGTTCGTGAATTTTTCATGGTGCATGTGAAAAAATTCAAAGAATCTATGAAATATATATTCTAAGATAATAATTGATTTGTGTATGAAGCTTTTCTTAAATTTTATGAAAGAATTCAGAAAATATTCATAAAATTTTGATTGCTGTGCACTGTTTTGACAGAAATTTTGAAAGTTTGCATATTGTAGTATGCATACATTTACATAAATAAAGCAACTTCAATAAATATACTTTGTTGCTAAATAGTCTAAAAAGACTATATAATTTACTTTGTAACGCACAGCTACATGAATTATGCCTGGCCAGCACATTCCTGTTGCTTAAGCACACATGAAGCAGCAATGCTTTCATGCTATTTAAAACCACGCTATGTGCGATAAGATTTTATGTATGCATGCTTTACCATTCCCTTAGATACATAATAAGTGCTAGCGTAAGCTATTATTGTATGTTAAGTTTAGCTCTAAGCTTATGAAGCGGAGCATAAGTAGACATTCAATCTTTGCAAAGCATACTGAGTGGATGCTTCAATAAATAATAATTAATATAAGAAAGTAATTGTTTTATGTTTGTGAAGTAAATAAAAACATTGAAGAATTGAACCTAAAAGTTTTAGTAGTTTTATATATTTTTGAATAAATAATAATTTCACACTACAATATTCTTTCTCTTTCTCTTTTCCTTTTTTAATTGCCTATTACGTTCTCATTTAGAACAGATGAGCAAACTCAGTCTGATTCTATGCGCTGTTGTGTTAAGTGGCAGTTTTCTGTGCGTTTTATTATCGGTAAAATTTTTTATAAATAAACAATTTAAAAAATGGAAAAGTGTTTTTTGTGCAAACATAAATTAATTAACGTGGAGAAATTATTATTACATTTAAAAATTCAGCACAAATTAAAGCAATTTGATGATTATCGTTGCTTGCATTGTGGACAAGTTTTTGGGCGCACTTTCAGCTATAAGCGTCATCTATTAAGGCATGGCGCCAATGAAAAGAAAAAGTCTGCGGCTACATCACCACGCAAACTGACAACAACAAAAGCAACAATAACAACAACAGCTATTACTACTGCAACAACGAATAATGTTGCTGCGTCGCATTTATCAGAAAAAAATGATAGCAATTGTGAAATTGCAGATTTAAATTTTGACGAAGCAGAACGTGAAAATAATAATAATAACATTACTCAGTTGGACTTTCGAGAAAATGTTTTAAAATTCGTTCTGAATTTATACGCTAAATCAAACCTAACCCGCAAAGATGTCATAGACATTCAAGAATCCATACAGAATTTGCTATTAACGCCAATATTAGCAACATTTACTGAAATGATCAATTCAAAATTATTAAGTAACTTGGAACTTAAGGGAGAATTTTTGAGTGCGGTGTTCAAATATGTAAACATATTTGAGTGGTGTAAATCAGAACATATGCTTTTTCAAAGCTAAAAAAAAAATAATCTTGTTGATAATTTGCATGAAGTTGTTATTAATGAAAAAGAAACTTTAGTTCATCAAAAAGGCGTACTGAAATTAAGCGGAAAATCGTCCAAAATGGCAATGTTACCCTTACATGATACTATGAAGAAAATACTAGAAAAAGACAATTATTTGTCAGAGATGTTGGCCGAAATAAAGAAACTAAAAGATAGCCATAATTTTACAAATTATTTTTTTAATACTTCTCGTGCCATGACTCTTAAAATTAGCTATAAACTTGAGCAACAGATACTTTTGATGTTTCCTACGGAGAAGCTGGAATATTACAGATGCGACAGAAGAGGAAAAATTTACTCCAGATTTTGTTATTTAAGGCAGTCGCTGAAAAATATAGAGAAAAAACAATCTGCACCAGAAAGCCACGATGGCTCAAAAGTCATATATGAAGGTGAGATTTAGTTGTTAAAATTTATATATATATATACACTTTACCAATCAGGCGTTGTCCATTTAATATATATTTCTTGTTTTAAAGATGTTGCAGCAGATGCCGTTAAACGTCTTAGGTACGAGAATGTAGATGCAAGTGAGTTAAATGAGCTATGGCAACTATCTTCTTCTAGCAGACTGGAAAAAATTGTCAATGATTGTTTAAGTTTATCAGATATTTTTAAGCTTTGGCCAGAGTATAAGAAGCCAACGGGATACAGACTAGTAATATAAAAGGAATACAAATATATAATTCTGTCTTGTAATATTTCTTTTTACAGATTGATTTAGATTTTAAACATTTGTATTCATCTGCTAACGATATTCTTGATATCTTTGAGCCGAAAATGAAAAAATTGTACGACTTCTTTTCTAAGCCAAATACTTTGAAAGATTCCAATTGTAGTGTGCTTCTAAAAAAGCTAACCGACGATGTTGTTGCTAAAGGTTAGTAAAATAAATAATAATAACAGTTATGTTTGAAAATGAATCTTATTTCTTCTATTTTTGGGAGACACGTCCTATATTTTCACAACTCTTTGGTGTCTTCATGAATATTTATTTCCAACTGGGCGCGTGGTACAAAAAGACAACACCGGCAAAAAAATAACACGAAGATTTACTATAAAAGACTCACAAGAGTCGGTATGCTTCGTTGGCCAAACCGTGCAACAATTGGAACAATTCATCTCTTTTCAAAAAAGTCGAAACCTAAATATTCAGCCATTTATTTTAGCTCTTGGAGAGTCAAATTTTAAAAATTTTGAGAATTTTATTTTATATTTGGACGATCATCGGTTAAAATTTGATCATTTTATTCGCTGTTTTGATGTCTGTTTTAAATCCTACCATATATTTAATCTCAAATATCCGGAAGCATCGAATCACTTTTGGAAATTTATTGAAATTTATTTTTATGAAATATCGTATAAAAATTCTAAAAACTCCCCAAAGGCCAGCATTCTAAAAGCTGAATTAATGCACTAATTTAAGTATTAATTAATGTACAAATTAAATTAATGAACAAATTAATAAACATTTGAAATAATAAACATTTGCTGAAGATTTTTTATGATACAATTTCATTTAATCTATGCAACTTTTTCACGCATGTTCGCTTCGTGAATTTTTTTTGAAAAATATTTTATAATATATTTTTTATGAAATTATTTCAAAGAATTTTGCGAAAGTATTTCAATAATTTTATGAAACTATTTCAATAATTTTATGAAACTATTTCAATAATTTTATGAAACCATTTCAATAATTTTATGAAACTATTTCAATAATTTTATGAAACTATTTCAATAATTTTATGAAACTATTTCACACCTATGCACATCGTGAAACTTTATGAAAAAGTTTTCTCAAATTTTATGAAACTCGTCATTGGAGAGTTTTTTATGAAATAATTCATCGAATTTATGACGCTTTTCTCACTCATCGTGTTCTTTTTTTTCTGAGTGTAGAAACCATAATACAGCCAAAAAAACATTTGTCACAACAATAAAAATTAATCATAACATAGTTAAAATTGAAAATACAAATCTTGTAAAGATATATATTACTACCAATACTAAGAAATTAATATTAGAAGGTATAAATTCTATAAACGTATATATCACTATCAATACCAAGAAACTAATATTAGAAACCATAATATAAACAAAAACCATTTCTCACAACATTAAAAATACAAATCCTGTAAACATATATATCACTATCAATACCAAGAAACAAATATTAGAGGCCATAATACAACCATTTCTCACTACATTGAAAATAAATTAACATCAACTATGAAAGGCTGAAACCTTTCTGCTCAGTTTTCTCATTAAACAACACTACACATTCACAGATTCACCACATCCGGTTCTTAGTTAGGATAATTCCATTATATTTAAAACAAATTAAAAATAAATTAAAAATAAAGGTCTTGTAACATAATTCTCACTATCCATATTTAAGAAATTAAACTTAAGAACTTAAAATAAATTGAAAATAAAATAAAGGTCTTGTAACATAATTCTCACTATCCATATTTAAGAAATTAAACTTAAGAAATTAAATTTGGCAATCATAATGTTAACAAAAACATTAAGAATAAACAACTCTAACTCTGAAGACTAAATCATTTCCGCTTATTTTCATTACACACTACCATACTTAAGCACGTTATTTAAATTATGCGCGTTATTTAAAACCCCATCACAATACTTAAAATATTGATGAGGAACCAAATATAAAGCCTACTATTATCATATTCAAAATCTACGCAACATTCAATGGCATAAATAAAGTAATTCAAAATTACTGATAATAAACAAACCTCAAATATAATCAATACATTATCATATTCTACTTTATTAAACAACGCTATACCATCACAACATTGCTTCCTCCGGTTCATAACTCTGATAATTACTATTATCCTTTGTACTTTTCCTATTCCGCTTCCAAGGCCTAATGCATTACGCTCCAAGATCACACGTACGCCATTCTTCGTCGCGAATTCAACTTTTCTCGTATTCTTGTGTGCAATTGTCAACAAATTTATTTACAATAAAATAGTGTGCAAATCATCAATAAATTACGTTGAATAAAATAAATTAAATTACTTTGAATAAAATACTGTACAGTTATCAATAGATTACTTTAATATAAAATATTTTAACACAAAATAGTGTAAAATTATCAACAAATTGTTTCCCATACAATAGTGTAATTTCCGAATTTTAACATCAAATTCTATTTACAATAGTGTACAATTATCAACAAATTACCTAAAATAAATTACTTTAATTAAAATAAATTACTTTAATATAAAATACTTTAATATAAAATAGTGTACAATTATCAACAAATTGCTTCCAATTAAATAGTGTTATTCTGAACTTTATTCATTAAAATCACAAATTTAACATCAAATTCTATTAAAAAAAATCCAATCGTGTTATTCTGAACTTTTTATTAAAAACACGCACCAACATTTCAGATCAAGTAAGTAAACTAACTAGAAATTCCATAAACAATAAACAATTTCTTTTCTCTACAACAGCAATATGGATCCCAACTCAGAGCAACAGACCAGAGATCACCAGCACCTCTCCGCGTCATTGCAAACAGGTTTGTGTATAAGGTTACTGTACATTCTTTCAATTTCTATTTCTTATATTAAAATAAATAAATTAAATTAAAATTTCACCCCCACGTGTCTCCAGTCTTGAACGTCAACCTCAATCAGATGTAATCACACACACCGAGCCAGAAACACACACACGCAGCAAGGTCACCGCAGGTATAACTCAACATAGCATGAATACAAATATACAAATAAATTTATAATATAAGCAATACGCCCACAGTATGTTTGGTATGTCAAATCGAAATACAAATTAGGCGCACAATGGTCTGTGTCAGGTTGTATGGTAGAAACTTGATGAACCAGTATAGCATATTATTACAATAATAAGCAAACTATTTTTATAACCATGTCATATACATGGTCTAATATGAATATATAACATTATAGAATGTTACTACATAAGTATGCTTTTTATCTATGATGACAGCATGACTGTTTTTCATTGATAATAATAAGCACATATTTGAAAGTATTAAGTATGCATACAGATTTTATATCGTGATGAGCGAATAGTGTGTATGTGCTTAGAATAATTATTTTTTATTTTTTGATTATTTATATATATATGGTCTCATATATTTTTGTATATGTATGTGGAGTGATAAGTCACTAATCGCTAAGGATGAATGTGATAGGATTGAGATAGGTTATAGTTATTTTATTAATAATGTTTTTATAACTAACTTATATAGTGTTTTTGGTGTATGACATATTATTTTATTATTATTTATTACTATGTTTTTAATGAGTTATTGCATCCTTTCTATAGATATACCTTTATATTTTATTATTAGATAATTATGTTACTTATTATACCAAGGTTTATATATATTTTTGTTAGATAAATGATTTTATTATTTTACAATACATTTATTTTTAATATTTTAATACTTTATAATACATTTAATATTTTATTTCTACACATTCAATAATTTTCAATCATTCTCAATGATTTTATAAAATAACACATATTTTCAAATATTACGATATTTGTTAATAGTTGTTTGGTTTAATTTGACAATAAATTTAATATATCTCCGTTTTATAATTAATAAAGCCCTTTCATAGCTGATATTTAAAAATAAAATAAATATATTTGGATTCCTCTTTCTTTTAAACTCTTCTCATTTTTATTCTCCCTTTTTGAATACATTTGTTTTTGTTTTTGTAAAAAATTTTTTAATTCCTCTCTTTTAATTTCCTCTCACTTTTACTCTCACTTTTTGAATCCATTTTGTTTTTGGTTTTTGTTTTTGTAAATTTAATTTTTGGAAATGTCGAGTCAACTGTGCGGTTTTGTCAAATGTTTTGTCGTTTTTAGTCGGTTAGTTGTTTTTATAGTATGCGCATGTTAACGCGTGTATTGTGTTGTTTTATTTTTATTTAATTTTGTGTTGTGAAATGATAATAAATATGCATTATTATGGATTATAGGATATGTAAGTTATATTATATTATATATTATGTTTTTATAAATGTATAATAATTTTATATTTTAATTTACATGTATGTGTATTCGTATGTTTATATATATATATATATATATATATATATATATTATATATAATATATATATATAATGCGTGCATGGTATGTATGTATATGTATGTGTGTATGTATATATGTATGTGTGTATGTATATATGTTTGCGTACGTATGTATGAATATTTTAATTTAAAGTTTTTGAGTTTATATATTTTTTATTTTTTAATTTTTAATTTTGATTTTGATTTTCTTGATTTTGACTTTCAACATACTGAACGACATACTATATTGACTTATATTTTCATTTCCATTCTGATGAGTCCAGCTGGTTACTGGACGAAACATGTCAATGGGAACCAATAGTTAGTTGACTTTTTGTTGGTTTATACCAACTGTTAGATTTTCAAATATAATGAAATTAATTTTTGAACAGATAATTAGTTAAATAATCTGGACTGAATATTATAATTTATTTTATTTCATTTATTCATATTTATATATAATTATTTAGAATTTTCAGTTTATATTGTTGTGTTTTATATAATTGTGTTTTATATTTTGTAAATCTATATTTTATATTTATATTTTATATTTCTAACCTTTATAATTTAAATGTCAGGAACTTATATTAATAATTATGTAAAGTATACATTATGTCCGTGCTTGCGACATAATATTTGTATTATAAATATAATAAAAATAACTATCTCTCTGTTTGTTATTATTTTTAGCTTAAATTTAAAATCTATATACTTATATAATTTTATATAGAGACTATTACATAATGTTGTAGGATTTATACTTTTACATATGAATTACAAATAATTTTTACATAATATTTTATTTTGTTTTTAATTAATACAGATTTATATATATTTAGTTTAGATTTTCACAACAGTGATTAGGGATTTGTCATTTTAACATGCATTTTTACTTCTAATATTTACGTATCATTATAGACCTGATTGAACAACATATTTTAAGTGAAGTATATTTTTGATAAGCTTTAAAAATAAGGGGAATTGTCTTTAAAATATCCATCAACAGTTAACGTAGATAAATAAGGCTAAGTCTATAAAATATGGCAGAGTAAGCGTATAGCGGCTTGCCCCAGAAACAGTCTCTGGCTGTTAGGCTGAAGGCATTGTTTTAAAGCAGTCTTTTATAAAAAGAAGGTTTTATACAATGCAAGGGTAACAATGTCAGTACCCAATAAAAACACTAAAAAAAAAAAGATATCGATCACTGCTACGGTATACTACTCTACGTAGGTGATATAATACAGCATTCCTTTTAGATGTCATGGCACAATGTGAAGTATAGTGCAACAACCGATGTGAACTGGAAGGTTTTAAATATAAGGAAATGAAAAATTTATCAGATGAACGGACCATATTATAATCCAAATAAGATACAGAAGGACAACCATTAAATTTATCACTCAATACCTCTGTTTCGTAAGAAACCTCATAACCAGTCCATAGAGAGAAAGATGAAACAAATCCGGATATGGATTCTTTAGGCAGGTATACAAGTAAATCATCCACATACTTCCACCAGATTTTTACTTGGTGGGCTGTAAAAATTAAACTACGATATACTTGTTAGTCTCTAAGTTAGAAATATCCCCTCATTAAGAATCTAGTGAACTGTTTAAAATGGCTATAAAGATTGCACACAGAATTATATAAATTACTATCATAACGTTACTCAAACTTCTATATCAAAGCTACGTGCTGTAAGTTCAATATGGAAAACACATTCTTAGTATTAGG